GTCTATTGAACACCGTTATAATGCAAAAATGTATCTAATACCTCGTTAAAAGTTCCATTTCAGTGTAACTATCAAAGTTTTTGATGTCACGCCACTAAGAATAGCACTAGCCGGTACTCTGGTGGCAAGTTGGAGGTGGATAATCCAAGTTGGTAATGACTTTCGCCTTTGTCAAACCACTCGGTGAAGGCGCTCATATATTTGTGTATATACATGTGAAAGTTGATTTAGTTCGCGTTTGAATACTGAAGTGATTGGATATGGCGTTTCTAAGTTCGTCCTTCTCACCTAAGTTTATTGGAGTGTGTTTCATTACATTTGATTTAATTTCCACTAAAACTTTGGTTACATCTTATTGTAAGTATATATGTAAGTAATGATGGGCTATTATGCTTATATAATTTATTCTTTTTACTAAACGCCTTCAACGTCATCGTGACTGAGAGGGGAGACTAGGGGCTGAGATAATGCTAATAAAGCATTTTTTTCCTGTCTCCTGGGTTTTTTTATGGTATAAAAAAAAAACTACGCAGGACAACAACACTGCAAAGAGAATGAAAACTTGAAACAAACCCTATACCAACCCGTCTGGGCAGCGTGGTATAGTAGGCCAAACCCTCCTTTCTAAGGAGAGGCCTATGTCCAGCAGTGGACTAGTAATGGCTGATGATGATGATGTCAGAGTAATGTGACGTCAAAAACCACACAACTTTCAGCTCTTGCATGAGTATCTGTGTGTGTAAGTAAAGCGCTGTCACAGAGAGATCATCGTTTTTCTTCTAATCCCGTACACACTTTCGTAAAAAATATTTCTATTAATAGATTTATATTTTTTTTGTCTATATCTTTTTATGATTGTGGTATCGAGACTGTAACGGATATTAGGTTAAATGAAGGAAGGAAATTGATGTTACAGAAGAATTACGAAATACGGATTAGGTTTATCAACCAACCACAATATAATAAGTATTTTTATTTTTTATGAATCTTTATAAGAAATTTAATTTCAATAAATATTTCCTGTATGTTCGTGTGGTGACGGATTTAGAATACGGAGTGTCACCAGCCCTATTCATCCTGTGAGTGTCGTAAGAGCCGACTAAGGAAGCAAACTACGCAAGACAACAGCACTGCAAAGAGAAGGAAAACTTGAAACAAACCATATACCAACCCGTCTGGCCAGCGTGGTATAGTAAGCCAAAACCTCCTTTCTAAGGAGACCCTAGCAGTGGACTATTAAAGGCTGTTGATGATTGATGATTGATGAAATATTTCCTGTGAATAGTCTGTATATTTAGAGAGTTTCCTCTTTTTTAACCAATGGAATGGAATGGAACAAATTTAGTCAACCGTGGGAGAGTACAAATAGGCCGGTTCTACCGGGGAGATACCATTACAAAAAACCGGTGGTGAGATTTTTTTTCGTTTCTTTTCAACCAATGAGAAAGGCTATCAGTGTCAAAATTCTCCCATTAATTTGAGGGGTTTGGCTACTAGATAACGTATTGGGTACGTGACGTAACTTACTTGGGTTTTAAAGTTGGCGGTAGCGGTAGTCGCTTAATATTAAGTGACTCGGCTGTTCGTTTGCCCCCCATACCAAAAAAGTCGACTAATATATCCGCAATGATAGCATTTAATTTAAGATTTTTTACATAAAATATTTGACTTGAACAAAACAAACATTTTGGCGAACTTGGATGAGGTACAAAGAGCAGAAACTTACCCGCCTCCGTTCAAAGGTAAGTTAGTAACTTAACATAATTTGAATTTTAAATCGGCAGAACTTGCATCGAAATCTGTTCGTTAATTATTTGCGATTCGCCTTTGTTTTTTGCCAAGATTATTTAAATTTATTCTTTGTTAGAAGTTCATTTGTTTTCGGTTCAGACTAAAGAGATCTTAATCACTGACTCCATCGGAAACTTAGAAGTACAATTATGCATGCCCATTATTTTTGGGCCTGTTGTTCTAGAAGTTCGCGATCCTGACTGCTAAGCTATTGGTAGTGGGTTCTATTTCCACCCAGAACAAATAATTGCATGAGGAGTACGTTTGAGATAAATGTAGTAAGTACGTGTGTAAAATGTAAGAAGTTATTAAAGGCGATAAGTGATCCAGAGACAGACCGAATAGTGCTGATAGATATGAGGGCATATAATATTTACGTAGACGATGTATTGAATGGAGAAAAGGGGAGAAGAAAAACGAAGAGAGCTGCCCCACCATGTGGAATATAGAGATTTGAAGAGAGAAAGACAAAAGAGAGAGTTTAAAAAGTTTTTTAGTAAGAGTATTTCATTCAAACATCGATATTAGATTCCATAAAATTTGGAACATAAAGAAGTACATAAAAAATAAATAACAGCTATGCTTATGATCATTGACGAAACATAAAAAGAGATACCGTGGGAGCTTCGGCATAAATAGGCCGGCTCGACCGGAGTGACACCTCAGTCTCACAGAAAATCTGTGTTCAGCTATTTCTTGTTGCTTTTTATTGTTTATGGATGTTGGCACAATAGAAAGAAAAATAATAAGCGGCTGTTCATGAAAAATGGAAATTTAAAAGAATTATTGATAAATAGTGTCACAAATTATAGAGGTTCAATCCGTCTGGATCTCGTGTATGAAATTGTTTCACTAGTCATGTCGCATGTTTCCAAGTTTTCACCAAAAATCAGGAGAGCAAGTTCATCTATTCTTGGAGCGTTATATATGTGTTCGTGTGTTCCAGATGGTCGTTTATCCGCTCTGATGCTATGTCCATCTCCTGGTTCTAAGCTACCTCCCCACCAATTTTCAGCCAAAACAGTTCATCCGTTCTTGGGTTATAAATAGTGTAACTAACAAGACTTTCTTTTATATATATAGACTAGTCATATTTGAAATAAGAATCATTTGGATCTTAATATAAAGCATATAGAAAATAATAAAATTTGTTAAAAAAAATTGTGGCTTTCAAACAGAGTGTGCCGTGAATAAAACCGAGATGCAAAAACTTCTTTCCAAAGTGGTGTCCTATTTAATATCCCTCGGAGGGACATAGCATGAATCTATAATGACCTCCAGGGACTCTGCAATTATATTAATTAGTTTAATTGTGACTTGGGAAGGTGTGAGAGATAGACGGAACTCACTCCTAAGTTAGAAACGCTGATATAATTTATGGTTTACGTGTTGTGTGTGTGTTTTATGTGTTGTTTACGTGTTGTGTGTGTGTTTTATGTGTTGTTTACGTGTTGTGTGTGTGTTTTATGTGTTGTTTACGTGTTGTGTGTGTGTTTTATGTGTTGTTTGAGATTGGATGTTGTAAAAAATATATATATTATTTTTCTTTTTATTTGAGGTTTATTTATAGTTAACACATTGAAAGTTTTTATTTTGTGAAGATGTTATATTGTATTATCAGCTCATAAGCGGTGGTAGTCACTGACTATCAAGTGAAGCGACTTCTCATGTGATGTCTTCATCATTAGAAGCAGACAAAAATCCTTGTTAAGAATTTGATTCGACTGCACTGCATGGCGTAGTGGTTTAGGCGGTCACTTCGCCGCTTCCTATTGCGCTGAGTGTTGTGGATTCGATCCCCACTTGGACCAACACTTTGTGTCCGTTTCATGTAAGTTTGTAAAGTCCCACGCAACGCGGGATTTATTCCTAGTGCGGTAGTTGTCTTTATTAAATTAAAAAAAATAGATGAACAGGTATCACGTCCCTCCAACACAAAGGGAGAGGATTCTCCAACCAAACTAAGTGATCATATCAGGTGGAACAAAAATTAATGTTTGCAAATCGTATTTACACACTAAGGGTCGTGAGAATTATTATTGTGCGATGCAGAATTGTTAACTACTTCGTAGTTTGGTGTGTTTTCGTTTGATGATATTAAAGTATATTTATCGCTGTATGCAGATGTTACCACATACACAAGTAATCCACCTAGCTACTTTAATCAAATTAAAAATTAACAGACACATTAATGTAAAAGCTAAAACCCTACCATAAATCTTCTTCAAAGAATTTTATTACTTCTTTAAAGGCGTATAACTAATTTGAAGAGAATCCAAGACGGCAATTATATTCCAATGCAAAACGTATTTGATCCCGTTTCAATGTCCTATCGCCACCTTCCCGCCCCGTCCCCATCTCGTGAACGCATCGCCGATTCACTAAAGACGAGGCTACGGTATGCTAATGAGAAATGCTAGACAGTGGGTCTTAGCCGTTGACAATTCAATTTACTCTTATCTAGCTTTACTTAACGTTATAGAACTTTCTTACATCTATACAAATATTATAAACGGATACTGCGCGGATGGCGGAGTGGTTTAAGCGGCCGCCACTTTGTGTGATCCACAAATTGTTGTTCTGAGTCTGGGTGTTCTTTGTGTCCGTTTCATGTATATTTGTAAAGTCCCCCGCGACACAGGATAAATTCTTAATGCGGGCGTTGTCTTTTTAAGGACCGATTTAGATGAAGTTTAGTATAGAGATAGATAGTTTGAGTCCAGGGAAAATACATAGGATAGTTTTTATCCCAGGAATCCCCCTTAAAAGGAGTAAAAGGGGGGTGAAAGTTTGTATGGGCAAGCAATAACCCCTGAACCGATTTTAATTGAATTTGGCATGGAAATACTACGATTCTTGAGGAATAAGTTTTTCCATATTGTTTTCATTGATTGATATTAGCTTCTTTAAGCTAATAAACTTCATGATTTCCATCTTGTGAGCTAAAATATGGATTTAAAATATCTTGGTACGTAAGTGTATTGTTCTTTTGTTTGTTGTTGATAGAATAAAAAATAGGCAATATCGTCAAAACGGCGAGCGTATAAACTTGCTATTTTTTAAGGATATAGTTCATTTCAAACCTTCAGGTCGGTTAAACATCTATTGAACATTACACCAGGGTGTAGTTATACAGTAATCATGAGGATAATAAGTTCTGCAAAACCTGGACAATAACTTCACTTACACACAATAATTTTCCCACATACCTTAGGCGGTGCGGTAGCATGTGCGCCATCATACACGTAAAGGTGATCATTGCAGTCCAGCTGTAGCAGGTCAAAGTGCAGCATGAACCGCTGCAGGATGCTGTGTGTCTGGAACGTCACCGTGCAGTCCAGATTGCGTTCGTTACGGGACCATAACACTCCCCCATCAACTTTGCGGTATTGTCGTTGCAAGAAGTGGTCCTTGCACAGGGAATCCATGTAATCTGCGACAAGGAGAAGAGACATTTAGAACAATGTTTATAAATCGTATAATTTGTTTCAAACGTCGGGTAAAGAAACAAACCAGTTGTATACTATAAGTTTTATTGCAATAAGTAGCGAAGTAATGACTGCACGGGCAGACTTCCTACTACGCTGAGTGTTGTGGGTTCGATCCCCACATGGGACGACACTTTGTGTGATCCACAAATTGTTGTTCTGAGTCTGGGTGTTCTTTGTGTCCGTTTCATGTATGTTCGTAAAGTAACCCGCGACACAGAATATATTCCTAATGCGGGAGTAGTCTTTTAAAAATTAAAAAAGAATACGTATCTAATATGGATGGTGCAATAAGTAAATAAATATATGTATTTTGAGGATTCATCATCATCAACAGCCTTTAATACTCCACTGCTGGACATAGGCCTCTCTTTAGAAAGGAGGTTTTAGCCTACTATACCACGCTGGCCAGACGGACGTTGAGAATTACCAAGTAGGATTTCGGCAGTATTAGGCCCGACGTAGCTAATACTTTTTTTATGGCATGAAAGACAAGTCTGGTCATCTGATGGTATGTTGCTAACGCCTCCCATGGACATGTGCAACTCAAGTCAGAACTGCGGGGTGGTAGGGCTCCTATACCTCACTCATTCTGTGAAAATTATAAATAAAATTTAAGCAGAGCTTGTTTTATGATAACTAGATTGACTGATAGAATACTTATATACCGTAATAGGTCCGTGTAGTGACGGGTCCGTGTAGTGACGGATTAAGAATACGGAATGTCACTACCCCAATTCATCCCGTGGGTGTCGTAAGAGCCGACTAAGGGCGCAAAACAACGCAGGACGCCAGCACTGCCAAAAGAAGGATAACTTGACACAAACCCTATACCAACCCGTCTGGCCAGCGTGGTATAGTAGGCCAAAACCTCCTTTCTAAGGAGAGGTTTATGTCCAGCAGTGGACTATTAAAGGCTGTTGATGTGATACCTTTTTACATATTATACATAAAAAACACCCAAACTTCGAAACAAATATCTGCATATCATACAAACAATTGGTACCACACGGAATCGAACCTGACACCTCAGCACACGCTACCACTACACCACCGAGGCAGTCAAAAGCAAAGAAGGACTTGCTTAACACCGGTTTTCTGTGAGGCTGAGGTATCACTCCGGTTGTGTCTCTCCCTCTTAATTTAAGATATTTACACTAATGTTGTACACATACGTCTAAGCCATCAAATGTTTTATCTCCACGAATACATATGTTTGGAATTTATCAGCCCCAGGAAATAGATCGAATTATTTTTATCACTTCGTATCAAATATTCTTATTATCAAATAACTTTCTCACGTTATATCCAATGCAACATGAATTCAATAACTTACAATCTACAGTTTAAAATCGATTGCAGATGTCTCCCGATACCACGGAGATAATTGATAAGATAGTATCTTATACAGTTTGGGTTAGTTTGCTGCCAGTCCTCGAGAAATTAACAAGCGTAGTGTTTCGCGTCGTCTGCGGGTTTGAAATGTAAGTTTGCCTATAAAATTGATATTATTACTATTATTATAAATAGAAAATTGGGTGGACGGTTATTAGTTATTATGTCAGAAGAGCTGAATAGAACTGGATGAAATTTTATTGTAGACTAGCTGGTGCCCGCGACTTAAAAAGCACTGCCTTAGTGCAGGCAAAATTTTATAGGGTTTTTCTGAGAGAAAAAATAGCCTAACTTACTCCTTATATAGACAACTACTTGGTAGCAAAATATTATCAAAATCGGTAAAGCCGTTTTGAAGATTACCCGGAACAAATAGACAGACAGACAAAAAATATTTAAACTGGTTTTTAGGCATAGGTATCGTGCAAATAACCGTGTGTATAAAAAAAAACAATTATTTTGAAATTACAAACAGACACTTCAATTTTATTTATTTGTATAACACATGAGCAGTTTTTTATTCTGCAAACGAAGCTAAAAGCTAATTTTAATTAAAAACTTCAGCGCGATTCTTTATGCAATGTTGTGCTATGATATGGCAATGCAATAGCGTGCTTGCATGATCGATTAAATTAGGAAATGGAAGTAAATACATGAAATAATGAAATGAAATACCTAGCAATATTTTAAATAAATGATAATTATTTTTATTATTAAAAATAAAGAACATTTAGTTATTTTTTTAAAAAATTACTGTATTTTTACTTAGTTTATTTATAAATTATTATTTTTACGTTTACAAATCAACTCTGTTAAGATCAAATAAATCATAACAGTAATAAAAAATAAACGATTGACGACGAATTTAAATGAACGATAATTATTTTTATTGTTAAAAATAAAGAATATTTAGTTAAAAGTAAAAAAAGTACTGTATTTTTACTTAGTTTATTTATAAATTATTTTTTTTACGTTTACAAATCAACTCTTTTAAGATCAAATTAAGCATAATAGTAATAAAAAATTAAACCACATATGTACATCGTTTTATACGTAATACAATTAAATAAAATCTTTGTCGTCAACCAGTTACCTACAATTACAAAATTCATTCAACCCTTACTTGAAATTTCAAGAGGTGTCTCCTAACCACTTAACCCCTTTTAGAAATAAGATCCTTAACCCTTTTCCTTTGTTAATTTCAGGAGTACCAAATACCTAATACTGAGTATTTTATTACTCGTATCTAGTTCATCGCCAGCTCCAATTGGTCGCGCCATCGGCACAATAGTATCAACCGTCACTACGGGATTAGAGGTGCCCATGTCTGTTATAGCTAATACTGGTGTTGGAACAGGTTCTATACAGATAGTTATTAATGTGCATACTGATAGCAGTGGGAATATTGAAGTGGATACTAGTTAAAATGAAGTGACAAGTGAACTTGAAATCAAGTGAAATCAAAAAAGACGGTGACATATTAGAAAATGTTACTAGGATTATATGACGTAAATAAAGTTTGTAAATATTCAGATAAGATTAATGATATATTCTAGTGTTATAAATGTTAAAATAACGGTCTTATTTTCAAGATATAAAACAACCTAAGGGTACAGCGACAAAAACAATACTGATTGGCTGGTTGGGTTAACAGTAGTGATCCTGACAGCATAATTGATTCTCACCTGGGACATATTATTCAGTGATGAGCGTAATTGTTTATTCTATGTATGTGTATAATTTATTTGTAATACGAATGTATTTAGAAATATTTAAGTGTGTTTATAAGCAGTCTGGTGACCATAGTGCAGACTCATCGTAGTTTAGTTTGGCGGTGTGTGAGATTTTTTTCATAAACTAATTTTATACCACGGATTGTCAATCATCGTTAATGCAAATATTTATAAAATATAAGATATCATTATCTCGAAATATCTGAAAAGATGAATAGCCATAAGCCCCGACAATCAACATACAATAATGGTTTGGATGATGAAGACCGCGCTGACAAATAAATCCATAAGAAAAGATAAATAAAAGATAAGAAATGGATGAATAACCAAAAGTAATAAAAGCAAAGTTATTTGAATTGGATAAAAGAACAAAATATAATATCATATATATCATGGAGAGTGCTCCGGGGAATTGTTCGGACTAATACCAGCCGCAAACTTCCGCCATCGTTCCACACGGCAAAATGTTCATCCCCACCACTTGGATAATTGGCGTTCCACCACTGTGCGCTTTTCAAGACACTTTTTGCCTCGCACTACCAATCTGTAGAACAAGTTATCGGCTGCGGTATTTCCGGACCGATACGACCTTCAAACCTTCAAGAAAAGAGCGTACTCTTTCTTCAAAGGCTGACGCTTGTGACTCCTGTGTTGCAGGCGTTCATGGGCGACAGTGGTCGCTTTCCATCAGGTGACCCGTATGCTCGTTTGCGCCCTATTCCATTAAAAAAAAAACAATATTTTTGTTGTTGATCTAGTCTATGGAGAAAACATCAATTTGTATCATCTTAAGAATTTTCTATTTAATTTCTGCAAAAATGCATAGTAATTACTTATTTTAATATAACAATTGTGAGTCGCATGCATATAAACGTATAACATTACTGTTCAGCATCATACTAAACCTAACCTTATTCTACACTAGCTGACTCGCGCAACTTCGTCTGCGTCTCTCAATAGTAATAAATTTTCTCAGTTTTTGAAACATTCTTCATTGGTGCTCCGCTCCTATTGATCTTAGCGTGATGATATATAGCCTATAACCTTCCTCGATAAATGGGCTATCTAACAATGAAAGAATTTTGCAAATCGGACCAGTAGTTCCTGAGATTAGCGCGTTCAAACAAACAAACAAACAAACTCTTCAGCTTTATACTATTAGTGTAGATGTGTTCAATACACTTTGAATCAAATTAAATATAACCACATGAAGTACCATGCTATGCCTAAAGTAAGAGGCATACGGGAACAGTTCGGAACCCTCCCAGATCGTGCCTGCAAAAGCCGGTATCACGGCGCGGTCGCGTCGCCTCCTAGCGGCGTGATTAACTAACAAAAATGATCGTGAGACAATAAGCTGAAGTATAATATTATACCAATCTCAAAATGCTACAGTATCTAACTCCATATTACAAAATAAGGTCACTTGCCGCGTCTTTTTACACGCTTTATATTAGCTTCACTTGTATGTTTGTTTGTAATCATCAATCGAGATATATCGAGGACCGATGACAATACGCTAATTTAAACAAAATATAACACATAAAAAACACGCTTTTTATAGAAAACCAAAGTAAAAAACTGAAAATAAATTTGAAAAAAAGCGTGGGGTGCTTTTTACTGTTGACAACAGGTTATAAAAAGCGTGTTTTTTAGTTTTTTAAAACTATTTTTTTAAAGTGATAAATATGAAAAATACTAAACAAATTTTCATAATCTTTTCTCCAAGGGATAGGGAGATTCATAAGGAGAGTACAAATATATAACTTATGAGGCAATATGGCCACTATTGTTGAAGATATCGAAAAATTCATACCGACCAGGAGGTTCAGTGACGTGTAATGCCTTATCAATGTGTTACGGGTTCATTTTTTTAGATATCTATTAGAAAATAGTAACACTACGAGTATAAGTTTATCTTTTAAGATTAGCACACAATATAGAAAAAATGATTTACACTTTACTTTTCAACCCGGGCGGATTCATCCACCGGATACAGCCAGCATTTCCGTCAAGTGTTCTATAAGTTATAAAATCAATATTTTCATTTTGTCTTAAGCCGTTGACAGAAATCACAACTTAAATGAATGAAAATAGAGCTCTGTAAATTCTGAAACATGTATAATAATCATATCACATCACATCAACAGCCTTTAATAATCCACTGCTGGACATAGGCCTCTCCTTAGAAAGGAGGTTTTGGTCTCTATACCACGCTGGCCAGACGGGTTGTCATGGGGTTTGTTCTTTCTCTTTGCAGTGTTGTTGTCCTGCGTACTTTGTTCCCTTAGTCGGCTCTTACGACTCCCACGGGATGAATAGGGATGGTGACACTCCGTATTCTTAATCCGTCACCACACGCATAACCGTGATAACCACACCGGGCGGATTGCTAGTAAGAAATTAAGAATTTTCGCCAATCATCATCATGAAACTCATTTATTTAAGTCCTATTCAAGTCAAGCGCTATGTTATAAAACAAAACACTAAACTGAACTATTAAATAGCATAAAAGATACGTATTTCTTACGTACAAAGCGTAAATAAATGTTGAAGTGTTTGAGCATATCCGACTATTCAAAGATATGGTTTTATCAGCAGTTGTTTGATAAAACGGAATACTTCGGGAACTGGGTAATATTTCATAAGTGTGCACGGAAAAAGTATTCCATGTAGGAAAAATGAGAATTTTATTTTTGGAATTTGATAGGTATTTAAGATTGGTTATGATCACGTTTTGGTTAGTTAATATGTTCTTAGATAGTACGTGGAAGAGTCATACTTCGGCATATAGAGGCCAGCTCAATTATTATTTTTTACCACATTCACACTACGCCATCTAGTCCCAAACTAAGCAGAGCTTGTACGATGAGTACTAGACAACTGATATAAATACATATATACTTTTTTTTGTAAATACATACTTACTATACATAGAAACACCCAGACCAAATCAAACATTAAATGTTCATGCAAACAAATGTTTCCGAAAATCGAACCCGCGACCTTTGGAATAGCAGACCGTTACACAAACCACTACGCCATTCGTCGTCTAAATTAGAGTGACAGAGGTAATCAAATGACAGCACAGCCTCACAGAAAACCGATGTTAAGTAATTCTATAGTTGTTTTTCAGACTGCCTCGGTGGTGAAGTGGTAGCGTATGCGAATGTTGTTCTGAGGTTTCGGGTTTGATTCCCGGGTCGGACCAATTGTTTGTATGATCTGCGAATATTTGTTTCGGAGTTTGGGTGTTTTATATGTATGTATTTACAGAAAAAAGTATACAAGTATTCTTTCAGTCACTTAAGTTTTCATACTACAAGCTCTACTTAGTTTGAAACTAGATGGCGTTGTATGTCAGATGTCGGTAATATTATAAAATTATATTTTCAATGAGTCATTACCGTAGGATCGAGCTCCCCTTCACTACGGGATCTTTTAGGTTGTTGGTAGTTACTTACCATCAAGTGACTAGTCTGCTCGTTTGATACCCCTGTCCCTCCCTCCCTTCTATGGCATAAATATAAAGGATTCACGTAATAAAGTACCCAAAGTACTATTACTAATTTAAATTATCCCTGAATGAATATCGCTCGTATCAGGGTGAGTTTTCAGTGAAAATTTGTTTAATTTTTCTATTTGTTTAATCACCGATATCACTGTAAACAAAGTTAGAAATTTTAAACAAATTTAAATAAAAATGTAAGCAATCAAAATTCGTAATGTTTTGGCGAATTCTGTCTTGCGAAATCCATAGAAATATCATTAGTTGTTGAAGGTTGATGTTTTTTTAGAATTTTCTTTCGACATTATGAGATAGGTGTAAGAAGTTTTATTTGTATTGTATTAAATACTAATTTGTATTTTTTTATATTTTTTATTATAACACTGAACTTATTTTAGTTGTATTTTAACTTAAAAATATTGTGTGTAACTCAAATCATCTATAGATGCAAATAATGATACGAATAAATTAAAAACGTAATTATTTATTACTGATATATTTTTGTTTTATTTCTGAAATTCCAAAATGATTAGAAAGAGTATCATTTTACTGTCGAATAGCTCATCGGGTTAATAACATAAAGTATTTTAGGAAAGTATTGTCCTAAAATACTTGTTTAAGAAAAAACAGAAATTTTAGTTTTCAAGTGACAAAATATTGAAAAAAGAAACGATAAAGCTTACATGTCGTAAGAGTAAGTGCTAACATAAATAAAACTGAATATTAAAGAACTTGATAGATATTCAGATTTTTCTGGCAATCTGCATAAACTAAAATCATTAAAATTGATTCGTAATATGTTCTTTAAAGGTGCATACGTGCACACAAGAAAAAAGAATTTTCAAGAAAATATATATAAAAAAAAGAATCTAAAACAATACTTATCTTTCTTAAACATTCTATATAAAAGAGATTAAATAAACTACCTATCCCGTCATACTTTGAACGGAATTCTCGATACGCGAAGAAGACCATTTAACCAGTTTCGTAAATACGTAATAACCACACCCAACTACACAAAGAACACGATAGATCCTATCCCAAATACGAAAAAGGTATCCTCACTCAATATTGTCAGCAATTT